GGGACAGAGAGCCCCAATAGCTGGCTACAACCATTCAGCACTGAATGAACATGGTGAGCCATCAAGAATGCTAAAACTGAAGAAGTGGCAAAAGCCATACTTTGGAATTGGATCCACAAGACCAGAGTTGAGGAAGTTGTTGACAAGGCAATAAAAGGAATCAGAAAGGCAGAACACTGCCATGCCCTGGAGTGGTTAGATGAGCTTCAAGGAGCAAAGAAGTTTATTCAACAATCTAAAACCCTGGGACAAGACTCACTGGCTAAAGCCCAAATCAAAACTCTCACATCTCACACTGTGTATGCCATAACTGCTCTTATAGACAGTGGTTGTACTGAGAGTTTCATTAACCATGCTTTCATCAACAAGCACCAACTCCCAACAAGGGCAACTGCCACACCTATTCTGGTGTACAATGCAGACAGCATGAAGAACTAAGCTGGTTCAATCACTGAGTTCATCAAATTATGACTCATGATCAGAGATCATTCTGAATGGATCAACCTAGCCATCACTGACCTGGGAACAAAGAAAGTCTTTCTCAGATATGACTGACTGATCAGACATAATCTGCTGATCAACTGAAAGACTGGAAGGATAACATTTGTCTAATGTAAATGCTGAAAGCTACCATTCAAACTACCAGATGCAGACCCTGAAGATTGCTGGGATGAAGAAATGAAAGATGGGAACATGATTCTTGCCATTGACCTACAACATGAGATAAACATTCAAGCAGTACACCATGCCAATAATCTCACCACCAAGGCCAACAAACAGAAGAGAGAGAAGATGTTCAAAGAAATGGTGCCTGAGTGGGTGCAGGATTATTGGGATCTGTTCAAGAAGGAGAGCTTCAATGAGCTTCCTGAACCTAAACCCTGGGATTATGCTATGAAGTTGATTCCCAACACCTGCCAACCTCAATTGCAAAACCTACCTACTCAGAAATAATGAACAACAGGAACTTGACAAGTTCCTTGAAGAAAATCTATCCAGCAGAAGGATCAGACTATCAAAATCCCCTATGGCATCACCATTCTTCTTTGTCAAGAAGAAGGATGGAAAACTGTGTCCAGTCTAAGACTATCAGAAGCTCAACAAGATGATGATTAAAAACTATTATCCTCTTCCTCTAGTCTCAGAACTGATGGACAAGTTGAGGGGTGCCAAATACTACATGAAGCTTAATGTCTGATGGGGATACAATAACATCTGAATCAAGGAAGGGGATGAGTGGAAGGTGGCCTTCTGAATGAACTGAGGACTGTTTGAGCTGATGGTAATGTTCTTTGGGCTCACAAATTCCTCTGCCACATTCTAATGAATGATGAACAACATATTCAAAGACCTCATATCCACTGGAAAAGTCACCATCTACCTCAACAATATCCTAATCATGTCAAGAACAAAGGAGAAACACCAGAAGCTGGTATGACAAGTACTAGCCTTGATGAGAAAACATAAATTATTCCTCAAAGCAGAGAAGTGTGAGTTTGCAGTACTCAAAACTGAGTATCTCAGATTAATCATTAGCAAAGGAAGTATACAAATGGATCCTATCAAGATCATAGGAGTCACCAAATGGCCAGAACCCATTAAGAAGAAGAAACTCCAATCCTTCTTGGGATTCACAAACTTCTACTGATGATTCATTTGGGACTACAGCAAGATAGTCCATTCAATGATGCAATTAACTGGTAATGCCCCATGATCCTGGGGTGTATTGCAACAGTTGGCATTTGACAACCTCAAACACTGTTTAACAGAGGATATACTTCTCACTATTCCAACTCAAGAAGGAAAATTCTGCATCAAAGCCAACTCTAGTGAAGGTGTGATAGATGCTGTCCTCTTCTAAGAATAAGAGGGCTGATGGTGACTGGTTGCATTTCTTTCCAAGGCTCTAACCACCACAAAAGTGCTATGAGAGACACAAGGAAGTGGAACCAATGCATAGCCCCCTCCCTCAATCACAAGCACAGGATGATGAAAGAAGGAGGAATGATCTGCTATGATAGACAGATCTATATCTCAAGAGACCAAGGACTCCATGGTGAGATCATCACTATGTATTATGATCATGTGACTTCCAGGCACCCAGGCATCACCAAGACAAAGGAGCTGATCTTATGAGAATACTGGTGGCTAAAATAGGCCAGGACATTAAATGATATGTCAAAGCATGCAAGACTTGCCAATATGGCAAGTCTTTAACACAATCACATGCTGCTCCACTCCACCCAAACAAGGTCCCATCAACATCATGGATCCACATTTTGGTAGATATGATCACTGGGTTACTGGACTGTAATGGCTATGATGCTATTATCATTATTATCAATTGATTCTCTAAAGCAATCTGTTACAATTTTTTCCTTTTTCTTTACCATTTTACCCCTATTTATGCTTAGTCAGGATGCATAGGACTGTGGGAGAGCTTAGTCATCACAACTAACCCACCCATCAAGTCAGCCCAGACAACAATGCTCAACGACACACAAGCACCCTTTTATGTATGGTAACAATGCCCAAGGACAACAGGCACTATAGACACAGACAAACACAATTAGTAGGAATATTATTAGCACAGCCTGTACAGTATTTAAGACCCACAGCTCTCGCTGGCATACCCCAGCTTTGAGCTAAAGTTTATAACTACCATTCTACCTTGAGTCTATCACTGACCTTGAGTCACACAGATGAAGGACTAATTTCATGAACTCAGCTGATCCCTCAAAGTGTGAAGAGACAGCTGTTTATCATGTGGTTCTGCTCACATGATGCTTGGGCCTAACAATTAGCTTGAAGCTTCCAACTTCCCTTTCTCAAGCCCAATTGTGCTGAGAAACCAAATGCCCTCTGCAACTCCTACCAACCCAAATTTTGATCACGAGTTCTTTGAACTCCTAGCTTCTATCGTCAGAACATTGATTGGCTTATTGGTGATCATCAAGCTGTGCTGGTGAAGAGGATCTGAGCATGTGCAAGGTGAAAACAGATACAGCAGAGTGTTATCCACTGACCACACTCACACCAACACACACACAAAACTCCTAGTTTGTGGAGGGATTATAATGCGATAAAGTAGTATTCAACAAATGTAATTGTTTTCTTCAATGAGATCACAGCGCACGAACAGTAATAGCATGCTTACAACAGTCTGAGGTCTCTCTAAGTCTCAAAGCTTTTTGTTTTATCAAAACAAGAGGTGGCAACTGGTGTTGCCAGGCCTCAAGGCAAAGGGATACTGCAGCTTAATACAATACATCGAAACACTCTCTCAAAACTCTCAAATGGTCTCAAGCACAGCTCAGATCAACACAAATCTCTAACACACACAATACACAACTCAAAGTGTCGCACTCTAAGCAAAAACCAATCACAAACATATCCACAAGTGCCAAAGAGCACAGATCTCTGTTCACAAGCTTCCAAACCGATCGTAGACCCACAGGATTCAAACCTATGTGATCCAGAGACACAAAACCCAATAAAACACCATCTGACAGACCAAAGGGTTTGAACCTCTGCCACCTGTAGCGCTGCATATCACAAATACCTCAGAAACTCAAGATGATGCCCTTCAGACACCGCTCTCTTATTCTCAGGTTAGAGCGCAATCCAAACCTCTTATCAAACTGGGCTTAAGTCCTTCATGAGCTTCGATGCCTCGCTTAGTTCTCACAGCTCTCTGAAGGGTATTCAATAATAAGTTTATTCTCTCGCCTGAAGTTACAAACACAAACCCAGAGCTAGAGTGCAAGGCTTTCTGTGCCCAATACACCACAACTGAGGGGGTCAGAAACTTTTTTTTCTACTCATACAATACTGTATTTAAATACTCTACTATGGTACTTACTAATACAATCCTACTATGGTATTCTCAAAGTGCAGGACTCCATGCTGGATCCCATGGGTACTATTCGCATGCGTATCACAGTTGCCGCACTTATTCGCTTCTGCGCCAGGACTGCACAAGGTTTCCTCGCTTAGCTGACCTCGGCTAGCTGGCCTAGCCCACTCTGCTCACTTTCTTCTTGCCTCGGTGACATATCTCTGACAGTGGTAGACTGTTCTGGACCCCCGGAGTTATCTCCTATGTCTGGAGTCAGCCACAATAGTTATGTTCTCTTCTCTAGTGTCTCAACATTCTCTCTGGCACATGAAACGCACCACTTCTGGCCTGGCATGTATTAATTAACTTTCCCAATATAGTATATGTCATACCATGGTATGATGTGGAGTCCCTCGCTGTGTTAAGCATGCTAAAGCACCATTAGTATGTGTGCGAGTCTCTGAGCAGCACATGTGCTATTCATCTCTGAGCATAATATTCCTCTACCTATCCCCTTGTTGCCATCATTGCATCTCTCTGTTCAGCACCCAGTTATTCAGATACCTTTCTTAGGGTCCTGGATCTCTGTTCTCAAGCATGTTCCATCAGTGCATCATTGATCAATGTGATCAGGATTGCTGATCATGTTTCGATCATATTCTTTTTATTTTTAGCATGTCCTCTCATGATAGTATTGGCACATTTAGGGCCAAGTGCTGAGATCTCACATGCAGTCTAACCCCTCTGGTATTAGTCTGTTACTAGGCCATGCACTCTGCTTATTGTTACTTCAGTTTAGCATTATGATAGCTAGGTTTCTGTGTGCTCTAGTCCTATTTTCTGTTACATGCTTACTGGACTGGAATGCAGTCCATGTATTTGCAATTTTTGCAATTTTACATGCCTGAACATGGAGAGAGCATGTCACTGGGGATGCCATTCCATCACTGCCTGGGTGATTAGGCATTATCAAGAATTCCAAAGCATTCAACGTATTCCACAAAATGTAACCCCAGACCTCCCCTTATATGACATCCCCAACTCTCAATGAACAACCTACCAGCTTCCAGAAGCCAGGCCTAGTGGCATGTATTAGGGGGATGGTCAAGAAGAAATGGGAAGACAGCACTCTCCCCAACCTGGAAACTGGCAGCCTCGCATCTCAAGAAACAATGGGATCTTTGTACCAGACACAATCCTCCATGGTGAGGACCATAACCTCCCAGAAGACTTCTTTGAACAGTCCCCCTCCCCTGATCTCTCTTCTGCCTCCTGAACCCATGGGATTGCCGACCATGCCAGGGACTCTCTCGATGCCCCTAGGATGGCTCGACGATCCCAACCCCCCACTCTTGGCAGCCAGCCTCATGACTCCCCCACTCCTACCTGAACCAACTTGAGGATGAGGAGGAACCCCCAGAACAACAATGAGCAATGACGAGTATGAGAAGAAACAGTATGGAGGTACTTCTCAACCTGAGACTTTACCATTCTCTTTAACTATGATGATGCCATCTGACAGGAAGAGCATAGGCAGCAGAATGAGCCACAGCCAGTACATGATGAATGTCCAAGCCACCATGAGAAAGAGGAGCAAAGAAGGGAGGCTGCTAAGTATGATGAGCAGAACAGAGAGCAGCAGCAAGAAATGGAGAGAGAGCAGTTGGCTTGAGCCAACTATGGACTACAACCTGAAGTTGCAAGCGTACTCATGCCAGTACGAGCTGACCCCTCCCTCTCAACTCCTGTTTTCTGAGAACCGAGCTCTGGAACCAGCGTCTGGAGTGAGAACTGATACCAAGGAGAAATCCATGCAGCAGAAGGAAGCACAGCAGAGTCTCCCCTCCGCCATCCTTGGACACTATGGGCTTCAAGTCCCTGAAAATGCCTATATCCCCACCCAGGCCCTCTGAGGGTTCCTTGGAAGCAGGGTGGTCAGACAGCTTGTTGACAATGATGACTACCAGCAGAACGTCCGCCTCTATTGTGAGTGAGTGGAGGCAGCAAGAGCAACTGGTGGAAGCCGCTATGACTCTGAGATCAGTAGCCAGTCAGCTGCCACCTACAACTATCCACTAGGTCCTTCAACTGCTGGCCTGAGCTCCCAGCCAGGACAGCATGATGACCATCTGGCAAGAAGGGGCTGGGAGTTTCTATGACCAGCCTGTCAGTTCTCTCCTCGAGGAGGAAGATGAAGATGAGGAAGAAGAAATGGAGAGTAGCAATCCTCTCAGGGGACCACCATATGATTCACTGGAAGAGACTGACGAAGAAGAAGTAGGAAGGTTAGCGCAGGAGGAAAGGGCACAGGAGTACCAGGAGTACTACCTATGGGGAGTAAACTTCTTGTGGTGCAATGCTGCCTGGATAGCATCAGCAATGGGACAATTATATTTACGTTCAGACACTAACAAGCGAACAGAAATTCTAAGGTGGGCAGCAACAGACTATGCTGCCCAACAGTATAATCAATGACACCCTGAGTATCCAATCAGCTGAACACCGGCTTATCAGGCTACCCCCAGCATATGACCAATGCTGAAGACCCCTTCCATACCACCAAAGTGAGCCATATACCAGGCTCTATCACTTCAAAGCACCTTTACAAACTCCAACTATTCGGCACAATCCATGGCAGCCTGGCTTACCATAGCCCAAGTCCAGCTGACCACAAGACACCTGAACCCCTGGACAGGACAGGGAAGCTGACTCCTAGGGGGGCAACCACTCCTTGACCAAGCCATGACCAGTGAGGCCAGAAAGGAACCCATAAGGGATGATCCTGAGGCCATCTGACTTGGATTCACAATCTGAGATGGGGTCATTGTCCAGATAGAGGAACCAAAGGGAAGCCCAGTAGCTGACGATCACTCCCTCCATTCATTCCCCAGACCCCCTGCCGAATGGGGTCAGCCACCCTTTGATGGATGGCCTAACCCTATGAGAGCATTACCTGAAAATGCCCATGTCCTCCAGTGCTGTCCGGACCTGCTTCGGAAACCCTGCCTGTTCAAGGGGGCCTCCGATGATATCGACAGATTCCTCATAGACTGTAAACAATACTTCGAGGTATATGTTGGGTATCTGGGGTCTGACATGAACAAGGTCATCTTCACCGCCTCCTACTTAGAGGAGAAGGCCAAGACTTGGTGGATCCTTATCGCCCTGAACTTCCAATCCTCCACTCGGGGACATTACCAATACCCCTCATGGCTGGTGTTCAAACAAATGCTGAATGACAAATTCATTGATCCTGCAGTACAAGAGGTACACAGACAAAAGATCAAGGAATACAAGATGGGGGACAAGATGGCTACAGACTACTTCAACAAGCTAGAAAGGCTTGCCAAGCTAGCCAGGATCAGAGACAACATCAGAAATAATGGCCGAATGGTCGAAGCCCTCAAGAGAGGAGTTTCCCCCTTATACCTCATGATGATCTCCACAATGGGTGTCAGAATGCTGATGCCAGTCAGATATGACCAATGGAAGGAGCAGATCATCAAGATGTATAAGGAACAACAAAGGCAGAAAGCGGAATCATCGACACTACAAGACTACACCAAGAAATCAACCCCACCAATCCAGAACAAGTCTGGGCAAACTGCCAGGAAATCACCAGGACCCTCAATGGCAACAAATTACGGCAGTCAGAAGACAGGAACAGAGACCACATACACTGGTGCAGGAAAACCAATGGACATAGACTGGATGAAGAAGGAGGGCAAGTGCTTCAATTGCAGATAGAAGGGGCACATGGCCAAAGACTGCCCAAAGAAGAAGTAAATCCACAAAGACATATGGGCGCAGATAGCTGAGTTACAAAAAGAAGATGAAGAACTTGGGAAGGAGACAAAGGTCAAGGAAGTAAAAGATGGGGCTGACCAGTGAGCGATTCCACTGGATCAGCCAACAAACTTCATGGTGTGCCAACCCCAGCTGTTGAACGGACTTACAATACTTCTGTAGTTATGTCTATGCCACTAAATATGCATTTGAATATACCACAAACAATTACTATGCACACCACTGAATCACAAAAAGAAACTCAACCACCCATGGGCTGAATCAGGGCAGAGGGCCCTTCGAACTGGCTCAGGCCATTCAATACAGAGTGGACTTGGAGAGCCATCAAGGAAGCAGTTGATGGAAGTGCAGCAAAAGCCACACTAGGAGGGTGGATATATTGATCCCAAACAGGGGAAGCCACTGAGGAAATGGCGGAAGAACTAAAGAACACAGAACAAAGCAGGGCTCTAGAATGGCTAGATGGGCTACATGGGCCCCACAAGTTTATCTGATGAACCAAAACACCTCAGAGAGACCTAACGACAAAAGCCCAGATCGAGACCCTGACCAACCGATCCATGCACTCGGTAACTGCTCTAATAGATAGCGGGTGTACCAGGAGCTCAATAAACTGTGCTTTCATCATTCAACACAAGTTACCAACCCAGTCCACTGCAGCTCCAATCCCCATATATAATGCTGATGGGACAAAAAACCAAGCTGGTTTGATCACAGAATTTGTCGAACTGCACTTAACGATCAGAGATCACTCCAAATGAATCGACTTAGCAGTAACTGATCTCAGAACAAAGGAGTTGTTCCTCGGGCATGACTGGCTCATATGACATAACCCACTCATCAATTGAAAGACTGAATGAATAACCTTCGCCCGATGCTAATGCTGAAAAATCCCATTTGAACTGCCTGATGAAAACCCAGATGATAGGTGGGATGAGGAGATGGAGGATGGCAAGACCATCCTGGCTGTAGACTTGCAAAAGGAGATTCGCATCTGAGCCATTCATCATGCCAACAACCTGGCCATGAAAGCCAACAAGGGAAAGGTAGAAAAAACCTTTGAAGAACTGGTACTGGAGTGGGCATGGGACTATCGAGATCTCTTTGAAAAAGAGAGTTTCGATGAGCTCCCAAACCTAAAGCCCTGAGACCACACCATTGAACTACTCCCCAATGCCAATGCCAACTTGGATTGCAAAACCTACCCCCTCAGCAATCAGGAGCAGCAGGAACTTGACAAGTTCCTCGATGAGAACCTGTCCAGTGGACAGATTCGACCATCAAAATCCCCAATAGCATCGCTATTCTTCTTCATAAAGAAGAAGGATGGTAAACTCCAACCAGTGCAGGACTATTGGAAATTAAATGAAATGATGATCAAGAACTGATACCTCTTGCCCCTGATCTCAGAACTAATGGACAAGCTCCAGGACACCAAATATTATACCAAACTCAATGTCCACTGGAGGTATAATAACATGTGAATCAAGGAAGGAGATGAATGGAAAGCCACCTTTAGGACCAATCAAGGCCTATTCAAACCCACCATCATGTTCTTTGGGTTAACCAATTCCCCTGCCACATTCCAGTGGATGATGAATGATATATTCAAAGATCTCATTGCCACCAGAAAAATCACAATCTACCTCGATGACATTTTAATCATGTCACAAACAAGGGAGGAGCATCGGAACCTGGTACAACAGGTACTCGCCCTAATGAGGAAGCACAAACTATTCCTCAAAGCCAAGAAATGTGAATTCGAGATATTGGAAACGGAATACCTCAGGGTAATTATTAGTGAAGGGAGTATCAGGATGGACCCCATCAAGGTGGCTGGGATAGTCAAATGGCTGGAACCAACCAAGAAGAAGGAATTACAATCGTTCCTTGGATTCACAAACTTCTATCGGCGATTCATTCAAGACTACAGCAAAATCATTCAACCGATGACTCAACTCACTGGCAATGCCCCATGGGGATGGGGGAATTCCCAGCAACTCATGTTTGCAGACTTGAAATGATGACTAGCTGAGGATGTCGTCCTCGCTATACCATCCCAAGAAGGAAAGTTCTGAGTAGAGGCCGACTCTAGCAAGGGAGCAATTGGAGCAGTACTGTCTCAGGAACAGGATGGAAGATGGTGCCCAGTCGTGTTCCTTTCAAAAGCATTGACGACAACAGAAAGGAACTATGAAATTTACAACAAGGAGCTGCTCACAATAATGCTTGCCCTAGAGGAATGGCGACACTATCTCATCAGGGCCACTAAGACTTTCAAGATCTGGACTGATCACCAGAATCTCAGATATTTCTGACAGCCCCAAAAGTTAAACTGTCGACAAGCTCGATGGGTTATGGAGCTTACCCAATATCAATACACCCTTCATCACAAAGCAGGAATGGCAAACAAGAAAGCAGACCTTCTTTCCCAATGTGCTGATCATGATCAGAGAGGAAACAACAATGTGGGGATCACCATCCTATGGCCTGAACACTTTCAGGCCATGATAATGCCAATGGAGGAAGAGATTCATGAGCGGATCAAAAGCACAACCCAAGACAACCACAAATGGGACCAAAGGGTCACCCCATCACTCAACCACGAGAGGGGAATGACAAAAGAAGATGGGATGATCTGTTATGATGGAAGGATCTATATCCTTAGGGACCAGAGCCTATGAGGGGAAATCATCACCACCTGCCATGATCACATGACAGCAGGGCACCCAGGTGTCACCAAAACAAAAGAACTCATTCTGCGAGAATACTGGT